ACACTGTTGATTTATTGCCCATTCTGAACAATGTTGGATACCAGGATCTATAGTTGAATCCAGGCTACCCAGTCTCTTTAAGTGCCAAAAATGTGCTTAATTCATTGTCACCCTCAAAACAGTGTTGTCATGGTTATGTAGCTGTTTGCACACTGGGAGCAAAGTTGATAGACACTGGGCCTTGTGCCTTCACATTGTCTGGCTGGGGGTAAAAGTCCTTGTCCTTGAACATACATAAACCCTTTTCATTGATCTGCCCAGCACAGCACATCATGTGTTTTTCTTCTTCCTATTCCTTCTGTAGGGACTTTGGGACTGGAGTTACATTCAGAGTGTTCAGACACTGTGTCTGTTCTGTTCAGGCGTCTGGGGAAGGAGCAGTTCTGGTGCCCACAGAGGAGTGGCCTTGGTCCAATGCTGCCTCTCTTGACATTCAGGGGTCCTTGCTGGCTGGTGACAAAGCCCACATTGGCAGGGGAGGTGGCAGTGAGGTCTGGCTGCAGGAGGAAAAAAAAGAATGAGGGCCAATAGCAGAAAGAGTGAGAAGTGCCTGTAGACATTGGCAATGCTGTTGGACAGAGGCATCTCCTTCCCTGCATTTTCTGATGGCCACTTTCACTGGTCAGTGTCATGAGCTGGGACTCGCCTTCTGCTTCTCACTCTTTGGGTAAGTGTTATTTTAGGAGGATTAACCTGAGCCCTAGCGTGTTCCTAGTGTAGTTTTGAATTGTATTTATGTGCTGTCATTTCTTATGCATTTTTGTCAAGTTTCCTGCATGTCTAGTTTGTGATCCAGAGGGAAATACAACTATGAATGCTGACAGCTGACTTTGCTGAAAGCATGTTTCTTTTATCAGTTATGTTCTACTGATGCCAGCATACCAAACTTAAGAAATGCACCCTATTTAATTACAGCAAAGTGATGTCCCAGCAAAGCTTTATATAGTAAGTGTAATTTGTGCTTTTTTTGTGAATGATTTCCCTAAATATTTTAGCACTCTGAGTGAAGATACTGCTAAGTGACATTGACACGCTTTTCCTGTTTGGAGTTGTATTGTTCCTGTACAGTGCATTTACTCTGATCATTGTAGCCTGACAAAGCTCAGCATGAATGGGAAGCTGTGGGACAGAAATTATTTAGGCTGCAAAAACTAGCAGTCTTCTCACTTAGGGAAAAGTGGTGAAATGTAGTGTTAGTCACTAAACCAGTGTAATGGAGAGGTCATATATTAAACCAGTTTGAAATAGTTTATTGTTTTTTAACTCCTGTAGAGGTTTGAAATTACAGGAAGAGCAAAGATTCGGGAAAACCTTCAAAGCAAAGCTATACAGTGAAAATTTATGCTCTTTCTATTTCTGAATATTTATGTATCTGGTGAGAAGATTTACCCAAGGAAATCTAAGTTTCTCTACTTTGGTCTAAGATTGCAAAACAAGCAGTTGAATGACACTGTGCTTTGACAAGTTTTTATTGACTCAGGTGATGGTAAGAAGGTTTTACAACCAATTATTTCTGTAAGTGGGTTGAACACGAACGAGTCTGACAGGAATAATGTGTTGTCCCTAACCCACAGCTTTTGGTAATGCTGTGTAGGTACTGATCCCGTGCTGCAGACGGGAAGCAGGTCTGGGGTACCTTTGCCAGGTGACTTGTCACTCCCCTTCCCTCCATGGGAGTGTGCATGGCTTTACCACAGCGGCTGGTGTGAGGAGAAGCTGCCTGCAGATCCCCATGGTAGTGAGGCAGGAGTGACTGTCCTGAGGCTTCTGTGCTGCCAGTGTGTGACCTGTGGAAGTAGGGAGGATTGTGTTGGTGAAGACAGGCTGAGCCTTGGTGAGCTGTGCCCCTGCAGCAGCAGCTGCTGATAAGGTGGAGGGCACAGCAGCTCAGCTGGGTCTCTGCCATCTGCTTGGTGAAAAAGGACAGGACACAGGCAAGGCCATGGATGATCTGGTTTTTGAGACACATTGCTCCTGCAAGCACCCAAGGGGACTGTAGTGAGCTGCCAGGAGGACTTTATGGATGAGTTGCTCCCTGTGGAGCTCACGTTGCTGCTGCTTGGGTTGGGAGGCAAGGCTGCTCCTCAGATAAAGTTTTCATGTCAACTATTGTAAGAAATAGTGCCTGAACAAACCATGTGATATAACATAAACTGTTCAGTGCAATATAAAGACTACTCAGTGCAAATCTCCAATCACCCAGTGCAAAACAACAACTAAATAAACTATTTAGTGCAATACAACAAGCTGCTGCTCAGCTCCAGCAACCAGAGCTGCCTAACTGTAAGATTTTTCCACTGTTGTTCCATACTATGTCCATGCAAAGCTATTTGGCAAAATATTTAATTACCTAATTAATTTATGTGGTAATGTTCATATGTGATGAAAGACTTAATATTGTAAGATACAGTTTCAAATTAAAGTACTTACTGAGGGCATCCCAGAGTGCAGGCACAGTTGTGTGTATATCAAGGTACTCATAATGATGCATTTTACTCCTCTGAAATACTGATCTATCTATTAGCAGCCTATTTATGTTGCAGTTTGGAGCACATGAGGAAGAATGTCTGTGGCTTGCCAAGTGAGTCAATTCAGTGTTTATAATTTCTTGGTGATTTGCCAGGCAAACATCTGTGCCAAGTTTAGTTTCTCATGTGATCAGGAAGTGATACAGCAGGATGCACTGAGGACTTCCCCGCCTGTCTCCCCTCAGCACCCTGACAGGAATGTGGTGATTGTCTTGTGCTTTAAAGTAGAAATTTTCAAAGGCATGTAGAGCTAAATCTCAAATAGATGTCACTGACTTTCCCTTTGAAAGTCTGATGTTTTCCCTTTTCATTTCCTTTCAAGCTCAAATAATCACTTTTTAAAAGGAATTACCCAATCCCTGAGCATGTGTCCTCCTTTGAAAGTTTGCTTACAACATTTACTCCTATTCCTTCCCTGTGTGTTTATTAGTGTCACTATTTAATTTCTCCTGGCATTATAGGTGTGGAATAAAGTATTGAACTTGCTTTGCTGGGCCAAATTGGCATCATAGCTTTGAAACAACCCATGAGCGCTTGTGCCCTATTGGAAATGGGAAGCGTCAGCTTAAATGTAATTGCTGTTTAAAGTTTTGGATTCCTCTTACATGGTTTGGAAAGGAATAAAGGGGATCATTCAAGTTGACCTCACATGGAGAGCTCCTGTGAATTGTGAGTCTTCCTGCAAATGTGATATGAGGGGGTTGGATACTTACATATATTGTTTAATTTTCAAACATTAAAAGTACCTGCAATGAGCTGGCACTTTTACACTGATGTGTGTGCATATGCTCTTGTGGGAACCAACCACCAGAAAATATTTTCCTATAACTTAACTGTGATGTGGTTTTGAAAAATGGCCTTTGTACTTCTAAGTAGTAGTACTTCTAAGAAGTACTAAATTTGTACTTCTTTTTTTCTGTTTTTTTAAAAGAAGACTAGATGTGGTTTAATGTCTGTATTTAATACATGCAGAAAATACTTTACATGTTATTTGCCATTGGAAATAGTAAGAGGACTTCATTCACTTCTCAAACTTGGTTGGATGGTAAATTGTATAGGATATTTTTCCTAAACTTCTTTTTGTTCCCTTTTATTACACATACATGTTTCTTAACTTCTTTCAGGAATTATCTTTGGAATGGGACTGTGCGTTTGGAGTAGATGTTCTTTAAAAGGAAGGACACGGGCTTGACTTACCATGTGAAATATTGCAGGATGATTTTGCAAGAATATTTCTGCCCATCTGCTGTTTGGTATTTTATGACAAGCAACTGTCACTTGGGCTCTTCAGCCTCTTGAGAGTGTGGAGATTTTTTGCTACTTGAAACATGTCATCACTCTGTCAATAAATAAACAGAGTGGGTCTACTCTGCTATATTTGAGCATTCCTGGATTTGGTACTGATTTTGCTAGAGGACAGATGTATGTCTGCTGCTTCAGTACTGTATTTGATTCCAAGTCAATCATGTATTTGAGTTTATAGGACTTTGTCTTAATTTCTATTCCTCTAGTACTTTTAGCAGTTCTTGATTTATCTCTACACTCTACCTGAGCTCTGAAATGTGAACAAATCTAACTTGTTCAGGCTGCAGAGAAGCTTTCCTTGTGCTTTTTTGCCCTGTTTGTCTGTGGAAGCAGAGAAATAATACATTTCAAAATCATGTATTCCCCATAATGTGTCTTACTGTGTTCTGGGTCAGCTGAATACTGAAATAGAGGAACTGTGGATTAGCCTGCTGTCCATTAGGAACATCCCCTGTTGCAGTAGCTGCCCATTAGAAATGTCTGCCAAAGAACTGAAAAAGCCATTCTTCATTTGTCCTTCCATGGCTCCTTTTCCTACTGCCTTCTTTTTTTTCTCTTTTAGCTCCTTTATTAAAAAAAAAAAAAAAAAGAACAAAACCCCTCAAAGTCTTGATGATTTTTTGTTGTTTTTCTCCTTTTTTTTAGTGTCAGGGTAAATTCAAAACAAACATTTAAATTTTGCTGCCATTTGCTGTTGGCTGCATTTGTTTTTAGAAGAACAGAGAAGCTGAAGTCTCTGTAACCAGGGCCCAGGACACAGCTTGTCTGGAAATAAAAGATTCTGCTCTAGTGTGTGTCTGGGACTGAACCAAAAGCACAAGTGAAAGTGAAGCTACCGCAGCACATAAAGTTTGTCCCTGTTGTTGGGGAACAGCATCTGCCTGCTTTGGGCCTGCTGTGAACTTGGCCAGACAAAATAGGTGGAAGGGCAGAAGGTGAGGAATGTCTGCATCCTATCATGAATTGGAGGAAATGACTGTCTGCGCTGGTGGGCTCCGCATCCTGCTGGCAGCCTGGCTAGCGCTGCAGGACACTGCACAAGGAGCAGTGAATTTAGCTCTGGTGTTTAAAATAGCTCCTAGGGATGAGAAGAAGCGCTTCAAAAATATGCTGTGGGTTTCCTATTGGCTTGCTTAAACTAACTGGAAACTTTCTGCTTTCTTTCAGGAGCATTTTTTACTCTGAAAACATTGCTGCTAAAAAACTCCAAACAGGAGGAGTAAATCCACTCAGCTTGTCAGGTCACTGGCTCAGTGTAACGGCGCTTTCATGAGGTGACATTGGGCCAAAGTCAACTTTTCTTTCTCCTTTGTAAACCTGCAGCCAAGCAATGGGCCAGAAAATCTCAGGGAGCATAAAGTCTGTGGATGTGAGGGAGCCCCCTTATAGACCCGTGAAACGAGAGCTGAGAGGCCCGGATTTCTGCAAGCCCGCGCGCCTGGACATGCTGTTGGATATGCCCCCTGCCAAGCTGGAGGTCCAGTACAAACACGCTTGGAATAACGAAGATCGCTCGTTAAATATCTTTGTAAAGGAGGACGACAAACTGACTTTCCACAGGCACCCGGTGGCACAAAGCACAGATTGCATCCGGGGCAAGGTGGGCTACACGCGGGGCCTGCACGTGTGGCAGATCCACTGGCCCACGAGGCAGCGCGGGACTCACGCCGTGGTGGGCGTCTCCACGGCCGAGGCGCCGCTGCACTCGGTGGGATACACGTCCTTGGTTGGTAGCAACAATGAATCCTGGGGCTGGGATCTGGGGCGCAACAAACTCTACCACAACTGTAAAAACCAGCCCGGGGTCACGTACCCCGTCTTTTTGGAACCAGATGAGTCTTTTGTACTCCCAGACTCCTTACTGGTGGTTTTGGATATGGATGAAGGGACGCTTAGCTTCATGGTCGATGGACAGTATCTTGGAGTGGCCTTCAGAGGACTAAAAGGGAAAAAACTTTACCCCATAGTCAGTGCAGTTTGGGGGCACTGTGAAATTACAATGAGATACATCAATGGACTTGACCGTAAGTGTTACCACTTTTTTTTTTTTGTTACCCTCTTGATTTTTCTCATATAGAGGTTTTTCTTTCTCCTTCTGCTGTGGACAGTATGCTGGGGGGAGCTGACTGTTCAGCTGTGAGGGGACTGCACCCTGTCATTACTGTCCACAATGAATATATCCCTGTGTCTTGTAACGATGGTATGGATTGTGTCAAAATACCTTCCTTTTTGACAGGCAGAGTGGCAAGAATTCTATGTCCAAAGAAACTGAACAGGCTGAGAAAAAGATATTGAGAAACTTCCTGGGTATATTTAACAGTAGAACTCTTGTTTACTGGAGGATATGTTTTAAATCTGTGGTTTCCAAATAGGATTTGTGGATCCTGTAAAAATTTCCTGTAGTAGTGGAAACTCTTACTTGGTGTGCATAAACATACTTGAAGACTGGCCAGACAGCTTTCTTTCTGTAGTTGCCTTCTCAGAACCCTCAGAAGCAGCTGTGGATCCCCAAGAATCTGGAAACTTGGGTCAAATACTGCTTTCAGCAGTTTTTCTGAAAGAGAGCTATGTTCTGTAGTTCATTTCAGAAGGTAGTTTCTCTGGGTATTGTCCAGAAATCCAAGCTTTTGGATAAGCATGAGCTATTTCTGCTCTAACAGGGTAATATCTAATGGAATTGTTACATAACAAGGAGAAGCATGTTGCTGCTGCAACCCCCAGGCAGTGGCCCAGCAGAAGGTGAGTGGCAGAAGTGGGTCCTGTCCAGTTCTCCATGCACAGGAGGGCGTGGGCTCTGCCAGGTCTGTGCCCAGTTCACACACAGGAGCATGTACTGCCTCAGCTCCCTAACTCAGCCAACTTGCAGGCAGAGTGAGCAGGCTACTGGCACACAAAAACAAAAACCACAATTTCTGTCTGGATGATCTTTAGTCCACCTGTTCCTTCAGGGTAGCTAAATTCAAAGAATATACTTGGAATAATACTTCTGTTTCCTTTGGGGGTGTCAGCAGAGATGTTAAAAGCAGGGGATCTGTTGCATGGCAGGGCTCAGCAGCTGCTGAGGGAGCCCAGGGAGCTGTGCTGGTGAGGGCCAGGCCCTGCAAGAATGAATGCTACTCACTGTCAGCTTCTCAGCTGCTGAAAGCTGGGGAATAAAAGAATGGACAAGGTAGCAAGTGGAACTTGGTTCTTGTTTTAACTGTATTATCTGAGGTGTAGTAGGAGCTACAAATATATATATAGATATCTATATATAGGAAAAAAATAGATGACTGGGCAACATTTTCATGTTATTTTGGGCTCTTCAAATGGAACATGGTCCTTCAAGAAGGCAGTAAGAGCAAGTGTTCAATACTTGCCTTTTAATTAGTAATTTCTAAAAGAATTTACTATCCTTTTCCATTAGGATGGAGTGGTCTAAATTTTTTTTCTGTCAAAAATTATTTCTCTGTTCATTAACCTTGTATCTGACACACCTAGTAGAAACAAAATTAAATAGTTGGACCCTGCTTAAGATTACCTTTTCTAAACATCTGTAATAAGCTCTGGGGGAAGGACTTTTTTTATCCACAGAAGCCTTTCAGGTTTTACAGCTGGATGCTAAATGGCAGCTTCCCAAGTGCTTTCATACAGGGGAACATCCAAGGATCTTAAGTATTTTGCAGTAACTCAGTCATTGCAGAATGATGTGCTGACAGTCTTTTTCTTGGATTGTGGGGGAGAGAGACTTTTGCAAACTGAGTATTTGTTTGTGAAAGCAGTTTTTTTAATACTGTGAATATCTGCCAAACTAAGCAAAGTACAGCTCAGCTTTGTCCATCACGTCCACACAAGGAATTGTTCTGCATTCCTTTTGTAGCTTTCACAGGGCTGCTCAAGGGAGCTCTAGGAGGATGAAAACACAGGAGGAGGATGTGAATGAGTTTGGTAGAAATTACAAAATAAAAGGGACTGAGTGGAGAAGGATAGCTGTGGTCTGTGACATGGCAGAGAGAAAAATTCCCATCTGGTTTCTCGTGGGATAATTTTGCTGGAAGAGGCAGGATAGATTCCTAAACTATCCCTGAGAAAGTCAAAGTCTGTATTGTTTTTAAACACATGAACCCATGGATAAAAGTTAACTTGTGAACCAAACTTTTATGTAGGCCTGAGTGTTAATCTGATCATGTGAAGAGGAAGTTTAAAGCCACTTGGCTGTGGGGCAGTTTGACATCTTGGAATCACATCATTTGTTATCACATGTTCACTGATCCATTACTGTCCTGAAACAAAAACAGCATTCAAGAAACCAAATGAGCTTGTTTAGCTGGTGCTCCAGAGCAAACACTGTCTGTTTTCCACTAAGGGTGTTTGTATCCAGCCAGCCCTTGTGCAACAGTGCAGGTTTGGCTGTGGCACTCTCCATGTTTGCTCTCGTTGCACTTTTGATTGCAGGTTTTTATAATTGCTTGTTCTTGTGAAAATCAGAGCAGGTATTGAAGAACACTTGTGTTCACAAATTTAAGTACATTTGAACATGTATGTATGTGGGGAATTGTTACTGTTTGATTCCTCTCCAACATTACCAGTTAACTCTTCTTTTCCCCCTTTTTTTTCCCCCATAATCTTTTTCCCCCCTTTTCCCTGGAAGTATTTCCTGCTCCTGAGTGCAGCTTTTGGTAGATCTGCCCATAGTAACTTAGCTGGTCTTGAAGCTGCTGTCAAACAGTGCCTGGTAACTTTCTATTCAGTGATTGATTGCTGCCGTTCAGAATGCAAACCACAGCTTGGGATGGTTGTTTGTGTGGAGTCCTGCAGGGCAAATGGAGACCTCCACGGCAGGGATTTCTAGTGTTTTCAATACTTGCTGCTTAAATTGAAGACCTCTGAATACTTTAAAGGCCCCTGTATTTCAGTTGCTTGGCAGAGAGTGAAAGGCTTGCAGGAATGGAAGAGTGAAAGGCTCAGATGATGGCTTTCATGCAGCTGCAATGAACTTAAACATACGTCACAGATGGTGCAGAGTTCCAAGTGTGTTAATTACTGCAGGGATGGCAGATTCACAGGAGGATAAGGCTGCAGGTCAAAGATCAAGGACCTCTGTGCCCTCTGGACTCTAGATATTGCTCCTAGAATAATGCTGTAATTAAAATCAGTTGTACTTCTGCCAGCTGCATCTGATACCCACAGTATTCTGTTTCAGAAACTACCTTGAACATCACATGATGATGATCTTTGACTTTACACAAGACATTTTTTCCCTTTTTTTATTTTGAGAGACTTGGAGTTGGAAATGTTTTCAGGGTTTGGGAGGAAAGGCAGAGGGACAGGATGGAGAGTGCTCATAGTAAATACAGTGAGTTCTTCCCAGCACAAACTCCTTTGATCAAATGCTATCAGTACCTACCACACTGATGTCTGCCCACTTCCTGGGCAGAAGACAGAATTTTACATCAATCTTCTGACTTACTGCCTATTGCAATAATTAGAAGCCTCAAATAACATAAAAGCAGAAAATGTTACTTTTCAGATCAGGGCACATGCTTGTTTACAAAAAGCTGGTCTGTTTATATCTGGTGTCTGATGAGGAGTCCTGGAGACTATTTATAGACTGGAACAGAGAAATAGCAAAACACTTGTGTGTAAATGTACATTGCAGATCATGACTGATCCATTAGTGTTTAAACAAAGATTGGGAGGACAATCAATATAACAATGCTGTGATGGGAAACTTGGTCATTGAGTAGGTAAACAGAACTCATTGCAGTTCTTGCACTAAACCTCCCACAGGTTGAAAATAATTGTTGAGCTCAGGAAGCTGGAAGCATTTGTCTCAGAGGAGAAGACTTTACTTACATGTATAATTTATGGAACACATTTGTCTGTACCTATTTGCATTCATTCTTGCAGGACCTGGCCCTCACCAGCACGGCTCCCTGGGCTCTCTCAGCAGCTGCTGAGCCCACCATGCAACAGATCCCCTGCTTTTAACATCTCTGCTTACATCCCCAAAGGAAACAGAAGTATTATTCCAAGTATATTCTTTGAATTTAGCTACCCTGAAGGAACAGGTGGACTAAAGATCATCCAGACAGAAATTGTGGTTTTTGTTTTTGTGTGCCAGTAGCCTGCTCACTCTGCCTGCAAGTTGGCTGAGGTAGGGAGCTGAGGCAGTACATGCTCCTGTGAGTGAACAGGGCCCAGGAACAGTAGGTCATATTCCTGGATCTTGGGTTGCCTCGGGAGAGGGTGGTGATCCCTGTGGCTCCTGCCTCTCCTGGCTGCTGAGGCACTTGCAGCTCCAGGGAGGACGTGGGTGCTATCGAGGGAGGAGGGGGCTCAGTGCACATCCTCTCTGCTTGCTGATACAGCTGCAGGAGCTCTGGCTTGTGCTCTGTTCACTTCTTTTGCTCTCAGCTGTGCAGAGATCACAGTGGAAAACCCATGAAACTCTTTCAGACCTGAGGCTCTGTGTGTTTAGCATTTTGAATTAAAGGTGATGCTTCTAAGCTAAAAGACCAATTTTGGAGCTATGCACAAGTTCTTTGCTACTGTTCTCAGTTTATTTTAATTCACATTGGTCTGTGTCTAATATACCACAATTACTAGTTATAAACATACAGTCTTCCCCTTGGAGGCTTTTTTGCTATAAAGAAATCTAAGTCAAAATAGTGACATTATTAACTGCCAGAAGAAATCCATAATCTCTCATCACACTCTGGGTTTTCCCCCGCAATGGGTTTCAATTAAAATTTCTTAATGGATTTGGTTTTTTGTTTATCCAAACTTGTTTTATGCTATTTATATAATACAAGACTCTGGAGGCCGCAGTGGAAATAACATATTCTGAAAATCCAGTATTGCTAGACCTTAGAAAGGATTTTCCCTACAGACATGCAGTCAGAGGATGAAGAGCAGCAATTAAGCAGCCAATGCTGTGAAGAAGCAATCTTTAACTTTTGAGATAATTTAACAGGAAACAGCATTTTCAGTGCCTGCTTTAGGAGTCCTATAGCTATTGTTAGGGGGGTTTTGTCTTCTTCTA